GTTTCTTCCTGTTAAAAGGGAGTTTTTCCTCTCCACTGTCGCTACAAGTATGCTTGGTGTGAGGGATTGCCTTCGAGTCAATGAGTTGATGCAATTAACTTAAAAAAAAACTTTGAATCAATTTGACTGTATGATCTGGTTGAATTTTCTCTGTAAAGTGCCTTAATCTGACGTGTTGTGAATTGGCGCTATATAAATAAACTGAATTCAGTTGCATAGTCTCAATGTATTTGCTCTTGTTCATTCATTATTTATTCTTTGAAATTTAAATATCAGTTGATTTCTGTCAACATTAGCATAAAAAAAACATTTGATATGACTTTTGGATTGGCCTTTAATGATTATTTCCGGCCATGCTTTATTATCAGCACATTAACATTCTCCCTGTTGTGGATATAGCTCCACCAGTAGGACAGAAATGCATGGATGGAATTCTACTTGGCTCTACAGGTGTTGAAAGACAGATAAGAGTGAGTGAGCTTTGGTCCAACTAAATATAAGTCTCTGCATTCCCTGCGTTAATAACTTCAGGCCAAACTTTGCAACGTCGCTTAAAGTTACAAAAAACAACAATAATGATTTACCCTGTGAATGTGAGTCACCCGATTCCAAATATTGTACCAAACGCCAGGAATGACATGTTAAAACTAACAAAAAATCGGACAGTTTCTGAGTCTTTTCAATTTTATTTGTGCAAAGCATAGATTTACAGTCATTTCAGTGCTTCTGCAGTTTAACAAAAACCTTTGTGATTACAAAGCACGTTGCCGTGAGTACATATACATCAATTTATGGCTGCATAGATAACAAAGGTGAGTAAAATCACAGAATATTTGTGGTCATCCCCAAACAAAAGAAAAAAACCACACTGTACAATGCAGTAAAAAGGTTTTTTCCCCCTAGTAGATTCCTTTTGTTTTATTTAGATGTAATCCAGATGAATTAGTTTAATTGCTAAGGATTATTTAAGTGAAATTGAAGTTACACTTTCAAGGGAAAAAGAGCTGACTAATGAATTAATTTATAAAATAATAAAAAAAATGTTTTTCAGTGGTCCAGCCAAAGTCCAGATTGGGATATCTTTAACAATAATTTAATTCAACATTTAAAAACCACTTTTTTATGTTTAATCAGAATACCTATCTTTGATATCAAAATTAGTCTAATGGCCTGATACATTAAAAAGTAAAACAAGCAAATGATGTAAGAAATCTACAAGAGGGAAAACTATTTTCACAACACTGTACATTAGCAGTAATGAAAGGATACAGCTTTTTCATTATCTTTAAATAATTGTTTTATATGTTAGTTAATTTTACATTAAATATATACATGTTGGGTGTGTTTGTTTAGTGACAGTTTTAATGAAGGAACCATTAGAGCCAGGCTTAAGGTCCGAAGGGTTGATGTATGTGTTACCCAAAAAAGAAAATTATGTGCGGAATGTAGCATTTTACATACCAAGATGTGTTTTTTTCTTTTAAATAAACAGAGCAATTATAAGTGAAACAAGAAAATAAAAGGCAATGTCTATAAGAAGGAAATTATTCAGTTTATCTTAAAGAAAATGCCACAAATGATACAATAAAGACAATAAAGATGTACCAGTAACATTACAAAAACTGAAATATCTGTCCAGTAGAAACCCTTGCACATTCTGACGGTGGACCTCAAGTCTGATGTATCAAAATAAAAGAAATCTACATATTAAAACACATTAAAAAAGTAAATATAAATATACAGTCAAAAGTTCAACTAACATTAAAAAAAAAAACCTCAAAAGTCACAGTTTAGAAACCCTGTTTTTTTTTCAAAAGTTTTCAGAGAAACGTTTTCCAAAAAAAAGCATCAAATCTTTCAGTATCAGGTGTAGTGAGCTGATTAGTATTATGCTTCACAGTGCTCTAAGGTTTTCACTATTATCAACATGAATCAGCTTTTTGGTAGTGACAATGACCAGGAATTAAGACACCATGAAACAAATTATATAAACTAAGTGAATCTTTAAATGTTGCACACATTATAATTGATGTATATTATTGCAGCGCGTTAGCTGCTTTCAGTGGTATCAGATTTGAGACTAGCATTAGCGACTGTAAGCATATCCCAAATAAAACCAGTCAAAAACAATAAAAAAAGCTGTGAATTTTGAAAAAAGGGAATACATTAACTATGAACTATAAATTAATGATAAATGTAAAATAGAAGAGAATCAGTCTTCAGCAGTAGTGTGTATCAACATTTATGCTAGGCTAGTTAGCTTGTACTACTTCCATTTATCATAATTCAGTTGATATGCACTCACTATTATGTCAGGTAAAACTAAAGTAATCATAAACTTGGTCAATTATGTCGACTTCTGTCAGGAAATAAGTAGAATAAGCATTATTCTGTAATCTTTATTGGTCAATCCATAAAAGGCGTATTTATACGATCACTATTTAAATATTTCTTAATGAAAAACTTAGAACAGGGTTCCTGCTAATTATACATTTTAAAACTTATAAAAGTCACCAAATGTAGATTTTTTTTTGTGTTTTAGCAGTGACACAAAATGTTTAAGTACTAAACTTGTTTGTTTAACAAAAAAGGAATACAAAAGAGAAAATTGATTGTATTAGCTGATTTTTAAGTGGAGGGGATGTTTACTTAATTAGATTAAATTTATAACTTGGACTCTTGAAATAGATTATTTTAAAGCACAGTTTAAAATATTTTTATTCGGTTTATTGTAATAAAAAAGCTATTAAGATAGATTTTAAGAAACACACCTGTTTTTAAATCCGTATGTAAGTGCATCAAAATAAGACTATACTGATATACTTTAAAAGCTAAATTATCTTGGTTTGAATGTTAACCTCAAAATATTATTTGATATATAAAACAAAAGGGGATATTTAGACACGGTGTAATGTTAAAACTCAATTAAATGTTAGAATTTTAGACTTTTATCTCTGAGGATACGGAATAGGGAAGATAAAGAGTCAAAACAAACTTCAACACTGTAGGAAACATAGTTAAGAGCAAAGTGTTCCAGTTAAACTATGAGTATTGGGGGAAAAAGGTAAAAATTGGAGACGAAACGTCATAAATTACATACAAATCATGATAATCTAATAAAAATAACTGCAATTCGGGAAAAAGTTGAAATGTTTAAATGCGGTTTATTTAACATAAGATGTCTTTCTTTAAAAAGTCTGTTTTGACTTGGTTTGAGATAATCACATTGATTTATGCTGCCTTACAGAAACTTGGCTGCAGCAAGAGGATTATGTGAGCATAAATGAGGCAACGAATCAATGAGTCGATGCAATAAGCTGATTTTCTTTAGATAGAAAACTTTGAACCAATCTGACTATGATCTGGTTAAATTGTCTTTGTAAAGTGCTTTGAGATGACATGTGTTGTAAATTGGCGCTACATAAATAAACTGAATTGAATTGGGTCAAAGGCAAGGCAAAGGCTAACTTTGTTGCAAGTTTAAAACACACTGCAATCCCTATGTTATAGTTGAAGGTGATTAGTGAATTATAATTTAATGTAGTTAATATATTTCAGTTTTTCCCCTTTTTGTTATTAGTCCAAATAGTGTTGATTTCTTATGGTATTTCTTATGTTAAATGGACCATGGCCTTGTGGGATACAGTCATTTTTTTTTACAGCTTTTGTAATAGTGATTCGTGCAAAACAAATTTGCTTCAATGCCTCGACCACCCATGTCATTATACTAAATGAAGAGTACAATGAGGAGGCAGCAAGGTAGCAGGCACTTTTGCCAACACACGAGCAACCAATCACCGAAGAATCTGTCATCAAAATCAAGAACCAATGCTGTGTGCACAATCTAAAAATTGTCCTTAGTATAAAATTGTCAACGTGGAGTTTAGCAGCAACGTTCATAAAAACATGCTGAGGTACTTTGCTCTGTAAACTGTACAGAAATCTGTCTCTAGTGGTCACCTTATCCGATCAAACACTTTCAATACTCCCATACCTCTGTTTTATATAAAGCTAAGTTCTGAGTACGATTAGCAAAGGTGTCACAAAGACTCAGGTATAAGCATAGCCGACATACCTGACGATATGATGTATTTGAATATGATTTGGTGGAAATTAATCACATCTTTAAAACAGTTATGGTCTGCAATGGCAAACACACCCAGATAAAAGAAGAATATCATTCAAACAGCAGGTGTGTACAAGAAAATGCGACCTATAACTCAGTTCAGCATTCCGCTTGCCCACTCAATCCATCAGTAACATTCTACTGGCACATTGAAATCTACATAATATATTAGAATATACATAGTTAGAAACTGTCTGACTCAGTGAGCAAATCTATGCAGAGTAGTCTGCATTTTGGTTCTTTCCCATAGAGCATCTCCTTCAGGGAATGATCTATACAAATACATTGATGCAATGTTAACATTACCGCTCTAGCAGCAAACCGAAATCTGCCATTCATCTACTCAAATCCGTCATGCTATAGCGATGTGGTCCAGCTGAAGCAGAGAGGACATCTGAGCGGTAATGGCGGTTAGTAAAAGTCAACGTCTTCTTTCCTTTTTCAGTTGGCCTTGGAGTAGCTACGTTGTAAACTCTGAGCTGCGACTGATTGCGAGTTTTCCATCGAGAGCCAAGCCATAGGATTGAAGTTTTGGCTTTGGTCAACAAAAAAACAACAGGAGGCAGCAAATTCCCCTTTAAAGCAAGGGAGTGAGAGTAAAGCATGGATCTTTGAAACGTTTTCAGCCTTCGTGTCCTCTTGCTGACATTTAAGCTCTAAGTGCTGGCAAACCCCACAGTTGTCCTGCTGCATTAGGCGGCCCAGATCCTCTTCTGCTGGAAGTAGGCATCAAACCTGGCCTCAGCGTACTCCTGAAAAACAACAAGCAAACGTGGATACATGGACATAGGCTCTGTAGAAGTTTGTGCAAAGCCTTCTTTATAGAAGTGTAACTTTGATGCCTGATTGAAATAAACTAAATTTCTTTTTATTAAAACTAAATTGGTTGTTAAAAAATGAAATGCAAAGGCTGTAACGATGTTGATGGCATGCTTGGAAAAAAAATTGTAAATCCATTTGTTTCCCCACATCAATATGTTTGGATTTGAGTCCATGAGTTCATGAGATCCTTTCCGGTTATCATGGTAACCTACTCCGATGGACCCTGATCTCATCTGAACTCTACATATTGACACTGTGCTCGCTGCCACTATATATACAAACAAAGCTACTATAAAGGAAACAAATAAAGACCAATCTTATTCGCAGGCTGAGGACAGTTAAGCAATAGCATTTACTTGTCATTCAGTGAACTTTGTATGTGTGATCCCTGTTTATGTTTAGAAAACATGCTTACCAGGTATCCAAACTCGATGGTTGACAGTCTTGCTTGGATGATGGACCACAAGCCCCAAAATAAGTGAGATGCAAGTGAGAACCTACATAAAAATAAAAAAAAGAATCACTTTTACAAATAATACTTATCAGTATCACTGTCATGCTTGTCAGATTTTTAGTGGTTAGATGTTTAACTTCAGCTAAACTCACCTGTTGACCTCCACATACAGCTCCTCTTTCAGCTTCATCTGGTGCTCTTGGCTCAGGTTGGCGAAGCCCTGGTCAGACTCTCGTAGGTAGCTCTCAATGAAGTGAAGCTGCCCCACAAAAACATTTAAAAGCATTATTTAGACAAAAGTGAAAAAAATAAAATTCAATGAGATGTGAGTGAGCCGTCCCGCACCTGCTGGGCTTTTGAAGGGTAGTTCTGAGCATCGACTTTGAAGAAAGGAAACTCTTCACAGTTGTAGTCGTACATCCATTCACAGAAATGGTTGCCGATATCAAAGCCTCTGCAATACAAAGGGAGGAGTTTGTATGAGTGGATTATTTCTGTTTCAGTCATAAGGGATATAAACATTTGCAAAATAAATGGGATAAGTCAAAAAAAAACTCCTTTAGTACCTCTATAGGTATGCTGCTATATGCTTAGGCTGCTGGAGGACATAGGGATCACTTTTCATCATTCCGCTTTATTCTATCTACAGTATTTGTTAGTTCAACCTCTAACTTTATGTTCTCCCAGCTTTCTCTCATCATACTAGTCTGGTTCTGTTTTGCTGTGATCTAATTCTGGGGAGAAATATCAGCTGGGCTGCTGCCATCAACACCTCTAAATACAGATGATGGATTTGAACCCATTTTAAGTGTTTAGTCCTGTTTCTCTTCTAGACACTCAGGTTTTACCATGACTAACTGGATGTGCTCGCTGTTATTCCTTTTAGCATGAAAACTGGCTAAAAGTTAATTTGCTCAACTGTCTCTTTCCTAGACAGAGGCACCTCTGGAGCCAGCTTAGGGTTACCTTTTCTAACATAGGGAGTATTTATAAATCAGTGCTTCTGTATTTCTTCTGTGTGTCTGTTTATGTCTGCTTCTGTCTCCTTAAACCCAAGTCTGCCTCAGCAGATGGCCGCTCACACTGAGCCTGGTTCTGCTGGAGGTTTCTTCCTGTTACTGCATGCTGGGTGTGAGGGACTGCTGCAGCGCCAATGACACAATGCAAGTGAATATCTACTCTCTGCAACTGCACATTGAGGCGGTGCGAATCCTGTAAATATGACTGGATTCAGTAAGATGTGTTTCCTTAGATAACAAAAAAACTTAAAACTGACTGTATGACAAGTGCGATGATAGTTGAGATGACATGTGCTGTAATGGGCTATAAAAATAAACTGAATTAAAATGAATAAAAGCCACGTGACCCACACACATTATGTCTTAGTATTATAAGGTCTGTACTGTATCGCATCTGTTTAACATCTAAATAAGATCGCAGCTGAAATTGAGAACACATGTTCTCATTTCCTGTTTTTCCCCTTTAAAAAGCACATTCTCAGAATATCAATGCTGAATTATTTGTTCTACATTTCAGCGTTAATACCACAAGTACCTTTGTTTACCCAAAACAGGGTAAAACTGGTTCCCCTGTTCATGTTTAAAGCCTTTAAATCAAACAATCAGGAATTTTTATTGTCATTATGAGACCATACTGGAATTTTGAGACAACATGTACAGGACATTCCGAAAATAACTCGAGAGAAACATTTTCTGATTTGCCACAATGTACTTTACATGCAAAGCACATTCAGAAACTCCTGCTTTTATAGAGGTTATCAAACTTTCCTTTAGATCCATTCTGAGCACCTTTAATTATGCAGAACAGTATTTACATAACGGCTGCAGTTAATAATTCTTATAACAGGTATATTACTGTACAGGCACCAACGTCAACAAATGTTGATAAAAACATCTTGTTGCATTTTTCTTCTCCCCCCCTCTCCTGTTTGACTTTGCTTTTATCAGCAGAGCCCATCTCATTTTCAGGGTACAGAAGGTCAAATGGGAGGAGACTTACTGGAAGGAGATGGGTGACTGGAGATTTAAAGGATTTAGAGAAAAGACGCTTATGCACCAAACTTTTACATAGTTTTTACTGAACGAAACAATATATCAGTTATGTATAAAATAAATGCAGATATGGAGAAATGACGAGGTGGGTTTTTATCCTATTATCTTCAATTGGACTGAACCAATTAATCAGGCTAATCAAGATTATTAAAATAATCGTCAACTAATTTAGTGATGACAAATATTTCTAATCACTTGTGTCAATATGCTCTATCCAGAAGTCCTCATTCGGCATACTGTAGTTTTAACTTAACCTGTTTAAAATTCTGTTAAAAATCTTTATGCACCTTCTCCTCCTGGTTTGTTAATCGATTGATTGAAAAAAGTTATTTTCAGATTAATCGATTATCAAAATAATCCTCAGGCTACGTTCATACTCCAACCTGAAGTCACCCAAATCAGATTTTTTTTGCCCATATGCGACCTGTATCTAATCTTTTCACGGCAGTCTAAGGCTACGTTCACACTGCAGGCCTTGATGCTCAATTCCGATTTTTTTTGGTGAAATCCAATTTCTTTGCGTTGCCGTTCACATTTCCAAATATATGCGACTTCTATGTGATCTACTGTGGGAACTGCAGTCATAAAACGCAAGTGTCCCACATGTGCAGTAGAGGACGCAATGACATCACAGGCCAGCGTGCTCTGTGTTTACGGAAGTAAACATGGATGGTAGAGCCGTTGCGCATCTGCCGATCTTTCCCAACCATAAAACTCAATATTTTCAAGATGGTTAAACATAAATACTGCTCTCCGCATCATCGTCAACCATGGTTGTTCTTCTTCATAGCAAGAACCAGAATTGTGACCTTTGTTGGGTATTTATGGCGTTCAGGTCAGATGAATGCGACCTGGCTGTTCAGACACAGGTCGCATTTGAAAAGATCAGATTTATATCCGATTCAGGACTACATAACCAAGTGGCCTGTATCGCATTGGAAAAATTGGATCTGTGTTGTTTAGACAGCCACTAAGGCTACGTTCATACTGCAGCCTGAATTGACCAAATCCGATTTTTTCGCATTTCCGCATTTGAAAAGATCAGATTT